GACACGCACTTGACTAGCATATTGACGTCAAGAAAAAATTTATCAGAATACACTTTGTCATCATATACATGTGTTTTAAAACTACTTTAGCAGTTATTGAGTTTGCGCGTCTTGTATTTCTTCTATCTTGTAATTTTTTTCTTTTATTAAAGATGTATATCGTAAGAAACAATGTTACAGAACATGAGTTACATATGATCGCAAGTACAATAACTAGGTCATACGTATAATATAATTGCTGGAGAAAAATCTAAATTAGCTCTCGATTCATCTCAAATTCGAGCTCATCTGGTGGGCTCATCTTGTAAGAAGCGCACGCGTCCGATATCGGTTATATTTGCATAAGGCTATCGTCTTTCCTTTGTTGCGGACTCGCCTCCCACGTATGTGGCGAGGCTGTCACTCAGAGTTTCAGGACTCCCTTCTCTCACATCAGCCGCGGATCAGTACTTCTTTTCTATCTCTCTTCAACATTTCTACTTATTTCCTCTTTTTTTTCTCGATTTCAAACCTCCCCGCGGCAAGCAAGCACCTACACCCTGTCTTCGCTACCTCGCCTGCATTCCTGCATACTATTACACGGGGCTGCGCTTACACATTTCGTCCGTAACGCGCTTGCTTACTTGTTTGAGGTAGAGACATGCCTTACTTGTTACTCAATGGATTTTCGAAGAACAAAATGTATGTACAAAGCAAGCTATCAGCAGGGGGGTAAAAGTAATGAACTACTCTTTTTCTCATAATACATATTTTCGAAAAGAGAAAAATTTCAATATATTTTTTCTTACACTAGATAGTTTTACAAAAAAAAAAATTTCCATGCAAATTGACATTGTGTTAAAAGCTTAAATAATTTTTATGCTAATTGAAAATTTGTTAAAAGCTTCGTCTGCGTTATACATGTATTTGATTGTGTAGCAAATGTTATTGATTGCCTGAGAGTATATCTCCAATAAATTAAATCGTAAAACAAAAATTATGGAAAAGTATTAACTATGTAGCAATTTAATATTACTTTCTTTTTTGCTTTTTCTTAAAATCGTATCGTGTCGATATTAATTTTACAAAGTGCAGAGAATAATAATTTACGTATCTCATCCCCGTCTTAACTCGATAATTCAAAATTCGTAATTTGAAGCCTCGAGATTCGAGGACCATAACTCAACGTTTGTCTCCCCTGTCTCATATTTGCCGCCACGCGGTCATCAAAAGAACGTACTGGGTGTCAAGATGGGAATTTTGATATCGCAGCACGATAACCGGCCAAAACATTTCGGGCGGTCACGAATGGACATGCGAACGCAAAACGTACAAAACAACCAAAGACCCGGGGTGTTCCGCTAGCGCGCGATACTCCGCACTCTTCGAATAGCTCTCTTCTTGCTCGCGAATGCGGAGGTCTTCTCTCTCTCGATGGTTTCGCCGAGTCGCCTAACTGGGGATGGAATGAAACGTACTCGGTGAAAACGGGACAAGAATGGAGGCCGCATTAATAAAACATTAAGGTTTTGTAGACGATGTATCGATGTAGTGTTTATATTATCTTCTTTGATGTCGACATGTGAATTGGACAGATTTGTTATTCAGACTCCGTACATAAAAGTGCTGAAGTCTTGCTCCGCTCCGTTTGTGGACAGGGCGGGTATCGACGACGACGGGGCTCGGACATCGACGGACGGACGGACGGACAGACGGATGGACAGACGGACGGACGGACGGACGGACGGAACGAACGAACGAACGAACGTGAGCGCACAGATGGATAAACGCGAACAGCCTGTTTCAAGTTTGTGTTCTGGGTCCCTGCTCCGCTTGTCAGTCAGTACGTAGAAGGGGGCCTTATCCGTACGCAGATAGCTCATCGTGCGCGCTCGCTTGTTTCCGTCGATATATTTTTAACACTGTTTCCTGCTAGTTGAAACATTTTTCTATTTGGCCGCCGCGCGTGAGAAAGACAAAACGTACAAGAGCGAATCTCGTCGAAGACGTAAAAATACATTGGAAATGATAACATGTACAAAAAGCCACTAACACATACTGTCCTCGATGTAATACATTTTTGCGAAAGAGAAGGATAAGGTAAAAAAAAAAAAAACAAAAACAAAAACAAACAAACAAACAAGTAAAATAAACAGTATTGTTTGTGAAATCTTTATGTACGGAGTCTCTGTCTTCCATTGCTAAACGTTTCTCATGTCGAATTATTCCCGACATGATTGCTCGATAAAACCCACACTTCGAACAAGACTTAATTTCACAATAGACGACCTACGCGCACTCATTTCTTGGAGCCCGCGTGGTATCGACAGTCTTTGCGATGTCGTGCTCTCTCGGAGAGCTCCGCGGTTCCCCTTACCCTCTCCCTTCCCTCATACTCGCCACACGGTACTGTGATCCCGAACCTTGACTCTTCATTAATCACCCCGTGGTATCAATGACTGACTGAGTGACTGACGGCAGGCGAGAGGTATTATATACCTACGGTGTTCGCGCGAATGCTGATGCTCGTCGTGGGGATCTTTCTCGTCTCTGATGGACTGACGAGAAAGCCTTGTCTGAAAACTTTTCTCTGTGTGTGCTTTCTCCTTTCCATTTTGCACAGAACTTAATAGCTTGTTCGACAAAATTGCATCTTCTCGCTGTGATTTCTTAAAATCAATATCATTTGTCGAAACAATAGAACGTGTTTATTGCGTGAGATTTAAATTGTTTTTAATCATATTTGTTTTTTTTTATAGTGATAGAGTCGCGTAACACATACAAGTAACAACGAGCGATTTAATTATCGCGAGAGAGTTACGATTAATTCTGACGTTTTGGTTTGACGTCACGTTTTTTTTTCGATAGAAGAGCAGTCTAATTTAATCGAAGGGGGTCACGACCTCGTGGTGAGGCTGGCGCCACGTTTACTCTTCATTTATACGGTATTTCGTTACGGGATACACGCCGAAAGTCACGGTTCACCTTTGTGCAAGGGCCTGACAAAGGTGCACCTATACAAGCGATCGAATGCGCAACGTCATCGTCGGTAGCTTAGACGCGATCTTAGTATCGTTTCGAGTTTGAGTCTCGTGACGGATCGTGACTTGCGTAAGTTCTGTTTCTTCTCTTGTTTTCTTGTTACACGACTCCTGTCTGCTTCGGTAGTTTTTGAGGGTGTGACTCTGCTTTATCACCCTTTGCTGCCGATACGTGATCTCTATCAGCGTTTTCGGACCGAATCAAATGTGTACTAACCATTGTCGGATTGTCAAGCGCTTATTTTTTCGATGTTAATCGATGACGTTTAAATGTTACGCTCCGATTAGTATACTTAAATTCCTTTTGTACATAGTAATCATAAAGACAGAAAAACAGAGAAAGAAAGAGAGAGAGAGAGAGAGAGAGAGAGAGAGAGAGAGAAAATATGAAATAAATAAAAAGCATGCAATACTAATATATATAAATTAAAACTTTGCTAGAGATATATTGTGTTTACTTACAGTTTGTTGCTATTTAAAGAGATCGATATCTACGAAACACACTAATTACGTTTTCCCAGAGTCAATTAAGTTCAACTGGTTTGCGTAATTAAAATAATGAGATGCGTTATTAGTAAAGGAGAATCTGTATCGCGGTCAGATAACCTCGCGTGGCCGTAGCGCAATTCTTCAACTTGGACGTTATCGTGTTTTACGTTTCAGCAATGAAGCACACGCGCCTAAGTATTATATAGACAATTATAGACATAAATACTTGTTTCTCATGCGCGTCATATAATTAACTGCTCGAATTTTCTTTGTCGTGACAAAGCTCACGCGCTTAAATCATCTTAGAAAATGCGATTGTTGACACATGAACTGACTAAGTTTAATTACTATTTAGCGTTGCGCACGTTCTCGCTATGTTACTCGCGAGAACACGAGTTGAATATTATCGAAGGTAAAACATTTTCCCAAGTCTTGCAATAGGTTCCAAGAAGAAATAAACAATCGATGATTCCTGTACGTCATACCATTTAATAATTACAATTTAAATTATATAATTATACGACCTTATACACACGTACAGTGCTCTAGGTTTACGTAGATGTAATAAGTAAGTTATGTTTAGTTTAGACTATTACGTATATTACATGGAATGAAATAACATTTGAGTGACGCTACACGAACGTAATACTTGAGCTTAATTTAACTTGGAGAGACAGAGAGAAAGAGAGAGAGAGAGAGAGAGAGAAAGAGAAAGAGAACGCGTTTCTTTGCATCTGACGAATAAATAGTAAATATCAGCGGTTTCCATTCCATCTCTTTGCTCGCGGGCGCAGAGTATATACGAACGACACCGGAATCGATTTTCGATAAGCATCGAGATAGCACAACTACGTATCCCGCGTATGGATCTCGGTGTAAAAGAGTAATGCAAAATCTTTTGTATTATTTGTATACATCATTCATAGGTACGGATACGTGTGTTATACGACACGCGGCGTAAACAACAAAAAAAAAAAAATAATAATATAACGAAACAAATAATAATACATTATTAACACTGGACCAAGTCATTAGCAACAGACTCATCACTCTTAATACAATAATAAAGATAATATCAAGAATCTCAATAATAATATAATGATAATAATAATATAATAATAATAATATCCTCACTATAGTTTATTTAAATATCGTATCATGTACCAGGCGATAACGAAATGCAAATTACGTAGATTCGCTGATTCTCGACGTCACTTCACCGCGGAAAAAACAAATATTTTATTCAGTACCGGTGTTTTTCCTTTCTACGACGAATTAAGCCTAAAACCGTCGAATCGAATACAGTTTCCGAAGTATGTCGTTTGTTTCATTAATTAACTCAACAAATTAAAAAACATTAAATTGTATAACAGTAAGTATAATTTTTTATATTTCAGATTTAATTTAACTTTGTCTCTCCTTTCGTTAACGCCTCGTACATACAGTAATAACATCATTCGATATATATATGTATATATATATCGTGTTATATTTAATAATTATGTACAATTCTCAATATTAACCTACTTAGAAGGTATCTGTTTTTTTTTTTTTTTTCATTTAATTGTTTCCTCTCTTGTTTTTGTATCGCTTAAAATCTCGACATACTAAATTCCCTGTATTCTTCCGAATTTGCATCGCGTATCGCGCGGTTACGACAATTCCTGTATTAAGCATTTATTATTTTAATAGAGCAACTCCGCTACGCTCCTTCTCTCGTATCACAAGATAATCAATTACTCGAGTACTAGCTAATTAGTTTACACATTTGCGCTCGCTTCCCGATTAACTAGTCGACAGTCAATTTCTCTTGCGGGACAATACACTTTTTTCTCTGTTACACTCAATCACACTCACAATCTCTATGCATATCCTGTGCCGATAAATACGCGTAATCAGACGGCACGTGCATGCAATTTGCGTTAGATAATCTCAGCCATACATGCACATACAACGTTACATTGCACCATCGAGGTAAGACGCACGCACACACATACGTACACACACAAAATACACAGACACACGCGCAAAAAACATCTGGAGCCATTTATTCCTTTCGACTGCACAAAACACGTTTCCTTTTACTTTTTTTTTTTTTTTTTTATTTAATAGTTTGGATTTTTAACTATGGTTATACAGAGAAACTAATTAGGTTTCTAATGCGGATTAAAATTACCATGTAAGTCGATGCGCGAGAAAAACGATATAGTTACACTTGCTGTATCGATCGTGTGATAAAATGCTGGTATAGAGAATAAAACGAATATTTAAGTTCTGAGCGAGATTTTTTTTTTTTCCCCTACGTATCGACATTATAGGAACAAGACTCTGCTCCAAGGAGACATTGGTTATATTGCAATTACAGTTACTTGCGAGTTATGTACAAGAAAGATACTGGACCGTAGCTGCCCACCGTTCGCTAATGAAATATATGCGATTGATGTCGAAATTGATTGACGTAAATTCAAGAATTTAAAACTTAAAAAATCATACTCTTGTCAACAAATTATTGTGACATGGTCACATTCAAAATATATTAATTTCTCAATATCGATGCAAGAACGATTACTGATCGTTACAAAACAAAAATTTATGTCACACTGTTTATGTCATTATAAATTTAATCTTTTAAATTTAACTTTTTTATTATTTTATTATTTTATTTTAATACTTTATTCAAAATTATTATCTGTTACATTTCATGTTGCTTTGACATTATTTGATTCGCGAGAATTTCTCACACGAGATCCGGACGGTTTCGAGTCTGTCGAACGACTAACTGTCGCGAAACATTCTGTTGTTGAAGAAATTGGTCAAACATCTGTTTAGAAGGTCAACTCATATTCCCACTGTGTGTTATATTATGAGAAAAGAAAGACACAAATTACGCAGGTTCGATAAAAAATGTAATTTGTTAAAAAATCAGTTTCGCGCAAAAAACTGCGTGACATTTTCTCATCATCAAAAACAAACACGTACACACGCGATTGTCTCTCGTCCGCAGTCGACTGTATTTATTTTCATATCTGCGCGATAAAAAGATGTTCTTTTTATGTGTCGTTTATTTACGCGTTCTCTTCACTAGTTTCGCTGTCACGCGACAAATGTCCGATTTACGGATTGTGTGTTGCATCTTTCTTTTAAACATCTTCTATCTTCCCTCTTTCCCCGCGAACTAAGTGTTCCGCAAACTATTATTTTGTTTTTCGTGCTTTTCGATGCATTTACAAGATAAAAAAAAAATGCATAAAACAAAATTGTCAAAAATAATAAATAATACATACGTGGCAAGAGCGTATACACGAAGTCCCGAAAATATATCCCACGATATAAGTATGCGAAATTCTTCGAGTATTTGAACATTGTTTCGAAACAAAGTTTATTCGATAGAATCAAACATTGGAATGTTCGGGCTTCAAAGTGCGTCCATGTGTTTGCATTTACATACGTTATTTAACATTCAATAAAACAAAAATATGAAACATATACAATACTGAAGCAAGTAAACTAGACACTGATGTGCTCGTTTCTTTTAAAAATTTTTTATTAAAAATGTCTTCGTTTATATATTCTACAGTTTGTCTTACCTACTGTTCACTTTCTTCAATTACATAACGTACAGTAATTTATTTTCGTAAAGTAGTATACGAAACAACAAAAGTGTCTTTGAGGTCCAAAACTTCCGGTGTTCGATTACAATAAAGTTTGTTCGAATACGAATTTCACGCTCGATTTGTTTATGTCGAGAGAATGAACTTTCAGAACCCGATTTGACTCGAGACTTCGATGTTCGCACAACGAGAACGTCATCTCCTCTAGCGATTTTGAATTTTTCAAATTTTTTTCTTTTTTTTGTCAGATGGAACAGTGTGCAGCCAGATAAAGAAATTGATTAATTTGTCATTCGATTAATCAATTTACTTAGTTTGCTACTTTCTACAGCTTAAATTAAAGATTCGGTTTTTATCTCACCCGCTGAGGTGGTCTCTCATTCGCCAGTAATATTAATATTTTATAATCTCGTGCGTGTGAGAGCCCCTCGGAGCGCGTCCAGTCTATTAAGTCGGGTGCACGGCGCTATGCAGAAAATTTTGGCTTCCCTTCAACTTCGAATAGTCCGCATAGTGACGCTGTTGCTGCGTGATTCGCGAGCTGAAAACGATCGAGAACGGATTGTTTCTTTTCAGTCTGAGAAGGAAACAGTTTCTATCTTCGTGCCTCTGCGACAGAGGTTCTCCTTCCTGATAGCCAAGCGGAAGTATCATAACAATGCGCGATATAATTTAAGTACGTTATTTAACATATACAAGAGGGGTCGAACGATTTCTCGTTTCCCTCGGCAACAATCCATTGTTCAATCATTGGCGCACTGCGGCAAATCGGCGGAACGCGTCATGTGTCCTACTGGAAGTGAAGTTTTCTCCTCGACCCTGGCCAAGTCACGTGACGACAGAGACCCGTGACGTAGGCGCGGGGGCCCAAGGCGGAAAAAGCCTTTTTAGAAGTTCTGCTCGCCGTACATCCCGGGGAACCGGACCGCGTGTGCTCCGAGCTCGGCGGGCGAGAACTCTTCCTATGTGGCCAAGTGAGCAAACTGACCGGGGTGGGGCGTGAACCCGTAAGGGTGTCCGTACGGCGACATGTGGTACGGCACGATGTTCATGCTCGCCATCTTGTGCTCCTTCTTCCACTTCATACGCCGATTCTGGAACCAGATTTTTATCTGACGCTCCGTCAGGCAGAGAGCGTGCGCGATTTCAATACGACGCCGCCTCGTGAGATAACGGTTGAAGTGGAACTCCTTTTCCAGCTCCAAAGTCTGGTACCTGGTGTACGAGGTCCTCTGTCGTTTCGTCTCACCGTTAGCGTTTACCGTACCTGCAAAAAAAATTACGTTTTTTTGCGAGATATGACACAACCACAAATAGTGCGAAATTTACTTTATAGAATTATTTTATAGAAAAAATAATATTGCAAAAACACAGATTGTTATATTTATGCTCGCATATCACGCACAGAATTATTTTTACGAGCTAATTTATAGATATATATATATATATATATATACAAGAGAGACGTTTTGTGTGAAACGTGTTGTTTCTTTTAATCGGGATCGTATCGCAACTGGCGAGTGGAGAGGCGCGAAGGTTGTATAATAAGCTGGATAAAAAGTACAGACGATCGCATATTATCAAGGGCTCGAGCATGCAACGCGTGACGACCTCGTTAATTATTTCAACGAGTCGTGGTTAATGCCTCTGCCAGTGCTACTGGTTTGCGAACTGGTCACTTGGCAGCTGTTTTGCCTATTTGCTTTGCACGCTTCGGCCATAAATAATTTCGCAACGCTATTATTACGATACTCCGCCTATTACACCTACTTCCCTCGAGCTGCAAAAATTGCCGAACAACGACAGAAATGAGGCTCGATTTAACCTCGACTTATTTACACAGTATAAAATACCATCGTGTAAATCAAATGTGTCACAGTATACGACATACAATGCTAAGTACTTTATTGTTTTAATTTTAATAAATAAAACTTCGCGACTCTCGGTGCGTAAAATAAATTACAACAATATTTACTGTCTGCGTATTGAAAGTAAAACATCGACGGAAAAGTGACGGTTACTCTGCGGTTGTAAATTTGACGAAGCAAATGATTCTTTACTAATCGATCTAATAGTTCTCTCCCCTTTCTACCCTTTTTTTTTTTTTTCAAAATATACTGACGTAAGTTTCGATTCAATGCTTCAGCAGGTGTTACGCGAGCAAGGTCGTAGTCATTCCTTTATTTTCAGATAAGTACGTTGCTGTGAGCACGGGTCATTGCCGATGTTCGACAGCCGGTTCATTTACAGCTATAATAGACATAGCTATCAATAGTGCGGAACAAGGGAGAGAAGCGATGAGTCGCGCGGATAAAGATATCCGACTAAATAAAACAGTATATATACAGCGAAGAGGAAAAGGTAATGCGATAAAATAAGACACTCCGATACATCCGAACAAATTTACAGCAGTGTGTAAAAATGATCGGCAATAGAATTAAACAATACGTCGAATTTTCGCTTTTCGCGAAACGCAAATATTTTCCATCACTCTCGTCTTGTGATGCGTTTTGGATTGGACGATAATTCGAGCATTTGTGCGCACATTTGAACGAATGTCAACAGCATCGAAAAGATTCTTTCCACCGCTTTGAGCAATGTGGCACTTCCGCGAGAGTGAAAAGCGCTTTTGCAGAGGATTGCGAACGAGCGTTGAACAACGAAGCTCCTACCCGGGGGCTTAATGACAGGACCCTTCGTCCGGTGTTATCGCTTTCCTCCCGATGTAACACGTCGCTGGGTCGTACGGTCTGACTTTTTAATAAATAGTGTTCTGGTTGTCTGGACACGGACTCGTTCGGTCTGCATATCGTTTATCCGGTGCACCTATTCCGTTTTGTAACAGACAAACGAAATTTCTTTCTCGGGAATATTCGCGTTAAAGGCAGCTTAGCGACGCGCAATACACCGTGAGCTACAAAATTAATGAATTTCTTACGTGTATCTTGTAATTTTCAAAACTTTTATCATTCTTATTACGAATTTCAAACTGATGTTTTATTTATCACGTTGTTAGATTGACACATCCAATGCTTTATTATTCATATTTCAAATATAACAGAGCGCGTATGTCTCTTGATCTTGTTTTTCACTTCTTGCCGAATAAAATTATTTCGAGCAAAAAATATAAAGAATAGAATATTCACGAAACGCGCGCGATTCCTCTCGATCTTTTCTGGTGATAAATTGCTATCGGTATCTCGCCGACATCGATGCAACATACACGTTGGTGTGCAAAGGAATGTACTCGGTGAGGAGACTAGTGAGAAAGTTCTCGACGATGCTCGTGATGCGATTGAAATATGTTTCTTAGACGCGCCATGTTAATTCTTCCAGCTAATGCCACAAGAGAATGCCTCGATATATATATATATATATATATATATATATATATATATAATATACGCTCACAATGCTTTGCTTTTGATGTCCGTAACAGGTTTCGAGTTTTTATTATTCTTAAATGCGCGCGGCGCGAGAGCAATAAGCTTCGAACGCGTATGATTACGCGTGCGTTAAATTACAAAATGTTATTTTATCTTCTTCCAAGGCTCTGATTTATGATTTTTAGTGGCCACAGTATCTTTTTGATACATTAAAGTACCGCGGTAATCGCTGACCCGATTAAATTTCACGCGTGTCTGACACACCTGTTTAATTAGCATTTAGATTTCTATCTGACGTGATCTCGGTAGTTATTCTCGCACTATAAATTCTGAGGCATCGAGGGGAGTGCAAACCAATATGTTATTGTAACATGAATTTCCGTAATCATACGCATGACTCGCGTTGTATATCTCCCGGTAATCAATTTTGTAATCACGTGAGATCTTAAGCAGATGCAATGAGAGCACTTCGTACGCTCATTCCTATATAAGAAGAGAGAGAAAAAAAAGAGACGCGGAAGAAATTCTCTCTATATTATATCTTTCTAGTAGCTACTTGTATCTTCATCTTTGTATAATTGTTGAAAATATATATAATATTCTAATATTGTGCTCTCACACACATCATACACACACATACATCGACAAAAGTAATTTACACAAATATTTCATTACACAATTACAACATTCATAGCGCAATCCGCTTCGAGAGAGAGAGAGCGGATAAAAATCGAAATGTAAAAAATGTTCGGCGTGTCTACTGGCTCGACAAGAAATGTGCGGCCGTACAAGAGGCCGTAGGTGCGCATAGCCGTCGTGGTTGTAAGAGACTGAAGCGAGCTAAGCGCAGGGCCGTGTCGTGTCACCCATCTCGGTGTCACCTCGTGTCGTCTAGCCTTTCGTGCTTCGCTCTTAATAGAACGCGGAGCGCGCGTGTATTTGCACCAAACCATGTACGAGAAACGTGTCACCGACTGCCAGTCTGACGACTGTCCTGTCTGCCTTGACTGACAGATCGGCTGGTTAAGACTGAGTAACACGTGACCGTGCGGGATAATCCCGCGCGAGTTCACGGCTTCACATCCGATATTTCGAGATCTCCTTTGTTTTTAATATGCACTTCAACGTTTCTTTATTTCGCGACGTTATACACCGAGTATATTTATTTTAGATCTACAACACACATCTTATAGTACTTTATTAAGAATTTTATTATACAATTATTCCGTTCTTTCATATCTCCATTTATTTATTTGTAAAGTAATGCACAATATCAACATTTTGCCAGAGATAAGTCAAAGATATCGCGGTATTATTTGTGATAGATTACGTAGATTAGGTGCTGAGAAAGGAATCAAACTCGCGATCACAAACGCGCTGTATTGCATTCCGCGCGAGTACGTGAGAATATGTGTTCGTGTATATACGTGTATGAGCTCCTCACAGTATGTCGGTAGAGAGCAAGTTCTACTAAAAGTATATATATATATATATATATAGAACTCTTGCTACCCTTAACGCCCGGCACATATCTGAATAGTTATCTGATACGTGCTCAAGTACGACGATATCAATTCTTTCCATCTATCGCGATCGATTCGACAATAATAAAGAAGCCAATAAAAAATGTGCAAGTTGCGCGTGACGTAATGAACAGTGAAAATCGTTTCGAATTGCTGCGCGATCGAAGCATGTGTATCAATTCGGCGTGACGTTAATTAATTAATCGCGTTTAGACGAGATTCGAATTGTCTCGTTTTGCGAATTTGAATTTTTTCTCTGACAAAATACGAACGAGAAAATTTCACGAGCAACACAAATTCTTCAGATATTAACGAGGCCGAATATTCAATCCTTTGCATTATAATATCTGTCCCTTTTGTCGTTCACAAAACGGTATCGACGTTACTGACAAAAGAAAGACAGAGATTCATAAATAATCCGAGCGGTTTGCCGCGCGTCTATTATGCAATTACGATTGCATCTCTATAGCTTAGGTGGTCTAAAGCTTCAAGATCTCGTGTTCGGTCCTGCGAGATAATGTCTCTTAAAAGTTGTCGTTGTTTTCAGTCGAGATATTCAGCCAGCGGTATCGCGTGGCTGCCCATATCCCGTCTTCGTTTTCTGCTCTGTCCGAGATCTACGTTACTAATGACAGGCTTGTACTCTGTGTTCTCTGTTTAATCTATCCTTTTATCCTTGCGGATGCCACGATAACAATGAGATATAAATTATGCATTATTTATACACGTGATTCATGCGAGAGAAATCCACTAAGAAATATCAAATAGAACAAACATTCGATGTCTTTAGAATTATATATATCAGAAAACAATTAATCGAAACGTTTAAGAGATAAATATTTATTATTATTATTATTATCTCAATTTGTACTACAATCGCGATTTTTATTATCATCTTTGTTTCCGTAAAATTTATGCTTGTGTGCGCGCAAAGTTTCGAGTTTGATTCAAGAGCAATAAGATTTCGAATTAAATGTAAGAGTCGCGGACGACGAAGCAATGATAGGAGATTATCCACTACACACGCCTCCGTCTGGCCGCTCGCCAGTATGAATAGCCAGTGGCGCTCATGAATTTTCGTCGAAAAACGTTGCGTCAGATCTCTCTCTATATAGCAAATGTAATTCACGCACAATTTAAATTTATCTACACGCGTACCGCGCTACCTCGCGTCAGTCAGCCACCGTTCGCAGCTGATTTGTGACCCATCCGTATTCGCGCAGCTGACGGTCCAATCGCGAAGACGAAGAAATTGGCCTTCCCCGAGTCCGAAATTGACGATTCGCGCGCGAGCCACGGCGTTTTCCACACCGAGGAGGACAACCGAAAACAACGTAAGATCGCTGACGTTGATCAGA